TCTATTTGATTGGATGTGATGACACCAGAGGCAGAAATGTGGCAAAATTTTAAATGGTGAGAAATTCATCTCAGCTACCTGGATTTCGAGAAACAAATTGTGATTCCCTGACTCACTGTGTATTGAACTGGACAAGTTAGATGAATTAAAAAAGCTTTATTGACTTGTCTACTTGACTCCAAGTCAATCAAGTGTCCGTGAATGCTGACTGTTTTCTGCTCTTTCTGGCTATTCAAATTAACTTAAATGTGTTCATAAAGTTACATGAACATAGGTGGATACCCTTAAAATATCAAACCCATTAGATCTGAAATAAGCAAGCACTCAGAAACTGAAAAGTAAATCAAGTATTTTGATTGTTTCCTAGTGCTTTGTAACATAAAAGTTCATAGCATTTATCTGGGAATAGACTTTGAGTTCCTTCCGCCCAGCATGTGATCTATTCAGTCAGGTATCCCTAATTACTGACACACAGTAGGTGCTCACTAGAGTAGGTGCTTAACATGGTAGGCACTTGATAAATATATGTTGAATCTCTAGCACCCTTTTATTGCCTACTTGCAGACTTGTGTCACACACTACACACACACATTCGAGATAATAGGCTCTTAGAAAAGAGGATCTGTGTCCTAGTCATTTATGCATTCCTGAATAAAGAACCACCAGGTGATCATTAAATGATCACCTAATTGAACAGCACAAGGATTTTAGCTTTTGTTCCTTGTTTTAACTGCCCTTCCCCCACCCTATCTTGCCCATTTGGCTCTCAATCTAGACTGCCTAAAACCATCGCATCAATCTAATCAAATGTTTGAAGGCCAGAGACCTTGAAATTATTCAAATCAAGTTCAGAATTACATTTTTAAATTTACCCTGGCCATTTCATAAGTAGGTTTAACAACCAGCTAACTGCTATCCCAGGAGGAAAAAAAAAAAGCATAAGCTTAATGAATTTGGTCAGACATACTGTGTAACAGATGTCCAATGTGCTGCCATGAGCTTAAATCATAAAGATGATGGCTCTGTTTGGCATGGCAAAATATATTAGAAGTGTTTTATCGGTCACTGGGCAACTTGCTAGATGGAAGGGGAATGATCCTGAAAAATGCAGGAGCTGAGTCTAGTAGCATCTCAAAAGGAGCCCTGGAGAAACACAGATAATCTGCTTGCAATGATTCATCAAGTTGGTCCTTTGTTTCACTAATTTGAGTGTCAAGTGCAACCATACAATAAAGAATTGCCAAGACCTGATAAGATTCTCCTCTGGCTGCTGCTTTTCCTGCCTTAACAACTGGTACTATTCAAGCCTAAAGCACAAATTGAATAAATAGCTTCAAGGCTGGCAATGTTACACAGTGTTTCTAATTTTTTGTTTTTCCTTGGAAGGCTAAATTCCGTGTGTTTCTTGCATTTCCCCAAACACAGTGCATTGATAGTCACTGCTGCACCAATCATTTAAACTGTCTTAATATTAAGCGTGGAAGGATGCCTCATAAGTTAAAAATAGTTCCTGTTGTATCATCAGTCCAGCCATGGATTAGTGAAGATTAAAAAAGGATTGTAATGCCTTTTTTGGCCTTGAGAAAGCTTTTATTATGCCTATGGTTCAGTTGGCCTACTGATCATTTCCATCTTAATGTAATCTTTAACATTACACTGCTACAGGTGAGGTGTTAAGTAATATATTAAGACAACTATTCTCACTGAGCAATTTCACAAGAAATATGTTTTTAGCTAAATTAGACATTTAACAAATGTCATTTGTAATTTGACGTGGGGTGTGAGGGGGGGAGGGCAGTCTCCTTTAAACAGGCTATTGGTGTGAATTCCCTAACATAAATAACTTTTAAAATTTTTAATCGAAGTTCTCAATGTGAAATTGTGTACTGTCAGTGCAATAGACCGACGCAAGGAGAGCAACAAAGGCCTCAGGAGTCATAAAATAAGTAGTAAGCAGTTTTATCTCTAGGAGCCAGAAATCTTTCATTAAACTTAGAAAGCATCTACAGGTACAGTTTATCATGTGGATACAGTGTGCTGGATGTTTTCAACTCATAGATGAACACCAAGTACCTCAAAGATCCGACAGCAATATAAACTGTAATATGTGAAACAGGTACCGAATTAAATAATTTAGGTGACAATTATGATATAAAGATTGCATGAGACTAACTGGATTTTAAAAGTAAAATTAAGGGAGAAGAGAATATTAGAAAGCGTACAATTGGAAAGCTAAATAATAAATATTTTTTGGAAAATTTATTTTGTGACAGATTTCCCCATGCTATGAACATAAATGCAAGCTATAAATAGGGCTGTTGAAATTTAGACCGTTGACCTGTTTATACCAAAATCATAAAACAAAAAATTTAGTTTTCAAATTTTCAAAAGGGTATCTTGTTCAGCATTCAGTCTCTTTCTCTCTCTCTCTCTCTCTCTCTCTCTGGTAACTTCATAAAAGATAAATACGTAAGCCCTCGGACCAAGAGGTGGGTATAATGGCACAGTTAACTCTCGCCCCAGAAATTCCACTAGGCTGAAAAGAATATTATTTGGGGGCGGGAAAGAGGGATGCAGAGGTCTTTAGGACCCAGCAGGCGGCGGCAGGCGGCAGTTGTGTAGATCGCTGAGAGACTACGAGGGTCCGGTTCAGTTTTAATTCTGTCTCTAATCTCTGCAACAGCGGTGCTTCCTGGGTCCCGCGGCTCTTTTGCCCATTCAGTTGCAAGTGGCCGTCAGGCTAATATCAGAGCCTCCCGCGCCCCATCACCCACCATGGAAACCCTCCAAGAAAAAGTGGCCCCGTACGCGTGTGCCTAAGGATTCCGCACAAAAGAGGTGCCCAAAATGAAGACCCTGATGGTGAGTCATTTGTTGTAACTCCTCTGGGCAGAGGCGAGAACCCCCAGGCGCAGCGTCCCTGGGGCGCTTGGGAGAGCGACAGGGGCGCCTAACCCTGCGCCGCGCGGTCGCCTGTTACAAAGGGATAACTTTCCACCTGCTCCGCGTCCCTTCCTATTCCCTGGTTCTGCCTGGCTAGGAATCCCAGAGCCAGGATGGGAATTCGGGTTGCCTCCTGGATCTCCAGCAGGAGGTCCGAGGGGACAGCGGAAAGCGGTAGAAAGTGAAGGGAGGGGGTGGGAGCATTGTTGGGGGGAATAAGGGATGCTTAAAAGCAACCTCCTGGCAAAAACTAAGAGGGCGAGGACGGGGGGACCTTTGCAGACTTTCTTGGTTTCCTTGTCGGATTTCAAACTTGCGAGGATCGTAGAGGTAAAGCCCCACGGGTCCAGAAAGGAGAGCGAGCAAGGGCTAGAGATTCCAGCACCCGAGTTGAGGAGAGGGCCCCCTCCTCAAAGTGAGCGCCCACCCCTGTCCTCGTCGCCGGCGCGCTCTCCCTCTGGTAGCCGGGCGCCGTGCACCACCTGCCCTCTGCCGAAAGATCTGGGAGGTGGCGTTGGCCGAGAACAGCTACGCACCGGGAGCATCCCCTGCCGTACGCGCGGGGACGGTGCCGCCTCTGCCGAGGCTGCGCGCGGCGGGGGCTTGGACCCGGACCACTAGCCGCAGGACCTGCCCCCGCCCGTCTGACCGTCTTGCCTGTGTCCCCGCCGGGTGCGCTCCTCCTCCCGGGTCGGCTCTCAGCGGCTCTCCTCTGCTCTCTCCCGCCCGCCCGCAGCGCCATGGTCTGGCAGTGTGTTTAGCGCTCACCACCATGTGCACCAGCTTGTTGCTCTTGTACAGCAGCCTCGGCGGCCAGAAGGAACGTCCCCCGCAGCAGCAGCAGCCGCAGCAGCAGCACCAGCACCAGCAGCGGGCAACGGCGACCGGCAGCGCGCAGCCGTCTGCGGAGAGCAGCTCCGCGTCGCGCCCCGGGGCCCCCACGGGACCGCGGCCGCTGGACGGATACCTTGGCGTGGCGGACCACAAGGTGACAGCTGGCTCGCCAACCCGCACGCTACCCACCAGCCTGGGGATCCCGCACAGCTGAACCTGCCCCCTTCCCGGGGCTGTGAGGCGCCGTGAGTAGGTGCCATTCGGAGGCTGGAAGGGGGAGTGGATCCGCTGAAGGGGTGGGATCGTTCCTACTTGGTATGAATTCCTATTTGGAAAAGAATGCAAAGTTTTTCAGGGACTAGAAATGGGATGAGTGGACCCCAAAGCCTAATTTCCTAACAGGAACGGGCCCTGGAACTAAAACCCTCTGATCCCTAGAATTGCAGCTGTGGGTGGATGCTGGGTTCCTGAAGCCTTGGGTTTGGCCGCAAAGTCGCGCCCTTGTGGGACTAGACTCCGGAAGGCTCTAAGACTAACCGGAGCGTTCTTCCGACCGCGGCTGGGAGGGTGAGTAGCAGCCAGTCAGTGCCCGCTGCTCAGGCTCAAAGATTACCCTTTGATCTCTGCTTCGGGTTTCTCTGGGCAGAATTGCCACGGCCCTGGGGAGCGGTGCCCAGGCAGGCGCGGAAGGCTTGGGGCACAAACTCATCTTCCATTGGCTTGAAACTCATCGCTGAGGGCCTGTTTTCCTCTGTCTTCCGGGAAGCGTCTGCATGGCTTGGCTAATAATTAATAAGATGAATTTTTAAAAATTGAGTCTCCTTTCCCTGGAATAATGAATCTCTGGTTTCAGTTTGTGAAGCCGCTGCGAGAATCCTAATCAAGTTTCCTTGTCCTGAAAAGATATTTTAATACAGTTTAAATGTATTCCCCATTTTTTTGAAGCTGCTAATATATTTTTATTAAAACACAGTTCAACTCTGTGTCTACTCTATAAATCAGAGGTTTCTTAAAACCACCAAACTATTCTGCTTTTCATACTAATAGATTTTATGGTTGTGGACCAAAGTAATGTTTAGCAAGCGCTCCTTTTGTGTGAAAAGATAGCTCTTACCCTGAATGAACAAGTCAAACTTTTTTTGAAGTGGCAATCCAAATATTTTCACTCATTTGTACAATGCATAATGCTAAGTGTTTCAGAGGGTACAAAAGAATTTAAAGCCTTTGGGGATCTTTGACTGCCTGTGGGGGGGAAAAACGTACCATGAAATGTAAATTAATGGATAGATAGACAAACAGACCAATAGGTATAAATATATAGAAAATGCAAGACATAAACAGTACTGTTGGGTAGAAATGAGAAAGATCACTGCCCTAGAAGTACCAAGGAAAGCTTCTTTGAAAAGGTGGAACTTGCACTGGGAAGATATTCCGAGAAGCAGAAAAGAGGGGGAGATGTCATTAGGAAGTGATTTGGGGAGAGGGACTGCTGGTATAATAGACTGAAAGTCAAAAGTAGAGAGGGCCATCAGTTTTACAATTATAGCTTCTGTGTTCTAAGTTGTTGATTGATTACATACTTTGTATCTGCATGTGTGAGCCACTGATAAGGGCTGGGGTTCTAGGAAAGTTTAGACAGCGGCCTCTGTGGATGGATGTGGTGTTGATGTGTAACTGGTGTATGACGAATATATTGAACTCATTGGATTTTCATGGATGTTGTTTAGGGGAAATGGCTACCTAGCCCTTGTGAATCTTTGCTTAACAGGGTATCAAAAGGTAAACTTGCTGAAAGCTTCTATGGGCCTTTGGGAAGATATTCCTAATACTTTCCTGCTTGTGCTCTTTTGCTGGAGAGACACCAGCTGAGGATATTGATAACCTAAGGCAAAATATGCCCTCATGATTGTTTTCAAAACTGTTTATTCACACAAATATACTGGGTTCCGTTTTCAGTGTATCAGAGCCTTATTGCATTAAAATGAAAAACAGGTATTTTTTGGAAGGAATGTTGAAACTATATGAGAAAGTGAGATAATCTACAGTGAAAGGGTTATATAAACTCAAGTGTTATATGAATGATCAATGTGTAAATGTCCTTGGAATGGTTATCAGAGAATTATAAATGTGACCAGGAAAATCTTTAAAGATAATTAATACCAATGAAATTCTTTCATAGAAAACCAAGATCTCACAAAATTCCATACCCAGAGGGTTCAAGCGGGGGTTACACCACTGCAAGTGAAGGAACAAATGAAAATCTTAAAACCTACTACTTATTTCTAGGCATTATCTCAATTTTCCCACTGAACTAAATGTAAACTTTTACTGTTACTATTTACTGACCCCTTTACTGTTACTATTAAGCTGCCTAGAAATTAGGCAAAATTCCATTTCTGATATCTATCTGAAGGTGCATGTGTAAAATGTTTATGTCCTCTTCAAAAGGTGCTGTTTAATCAGGTAAATTTTGGATCTTCCTATGGTCTTGCTTAGGCAGAGATTTGTTAGACGATTGCTAGGATTTTTTTTTTTTCAATTAACATCTGGGAGGGTAAAAAATGAAAGCTTTTCTATTCTCGTTATGTTGCCAAATGATACTCTGATTGCTTTTTTTGTGTGTTGTTTTTTTTTTATTTTAAGTCAGGCCTTAGAAAAATTGTAGGATATGCTAAATGTGATGACCATCAAGCCATATGCTGCTGCATATTGAATCAGAATTCCAACAGACTTTAATTTGCTGTTGATTTATAGAATCTGGAGAGGGGTACAGATACTATTTAGGAAAATGTTCTCATCTCCATGGTCGGAGGTCTCAAAGTCAGATCAACGTGTAGTGTTTCTGTTCAGTTATATGACAGTATTAACCTTTTAACTCCAAGATTAAATTCAACAGGTGATTCTAATCCCCAGCACCTGAATTTCACAAATTACAGCCTGTCTGCAATGATAGTCTTGTCTCATATGGCTGCAGACTAAATTACTGTTGAGATTAAATCACTATCTGCCTTTCTTGAAAGATGTGCTTCAAGTCAAGTCAGTGATGAGCAATATGTGTTGAAGCTTAAATATCACTTTCCATGGCCATTTTCCCTACTTCCTGTTGCACAGACAATGTGAGCTGAAATTGTAATTCCAGTAGGACAAAGTCAAGGCTACTTAAAGTTTTATGTGATAATGAAGGCATTTCATTTTCTTTTAGATTCTTTCTCTTCATTCCCAACCTCATCTTCTCAGACCTTTCCCCACAAATGTTTCGCCAGTTCATTTCCATCCTGTTACATGCCTGTCATCATAGCTACTGTATCTGTATTCTGCCATAACTTTCCTGGTTTTTGCAAACCATTGATTTTTAACCCAGTTGACCGGACACAAGCAAAGAAGCCAATTTCCATGGCTTTGGGAACCATCTGCATTTAAAACTGTATCATAATGTATAACCAAACTGAAGCACACACATACACTCCATCAAGCAACCTTCAGAGAAACGCTCCAAGTCTCCCAGCAGAATAGAGGGGTGCATGGAACACCATTTTATTTCCAGTTTGGATCTTGTCTGGGTAGATAAAGTCATTTGCCATCTGGTGGACTCTGTGAAATGAAACTGTGAGCAGATTTTCATTTCCAGTGGACAGGAGCCCTTATCACAGAAGGCCCACTTGTCACCTAGTCTGCCCTTTTCTGAGATGGCTTATGAAGAAGCAGTGATCAATGGGGTCTAAAGCTGAGCCGCTATCTCCTCGCTTCAGTAGTAGCCCCCAGAAATGGATTTCACACATACCTGTAACATACTGCCCTTGCTTCTTTCCTTCTTTAAGCCCTCAGTTATTCAAGCAAAAGAGAACTTCTTAGAGGTTGTAGTACTATTACTATTAATTGATAGATGTCCAGTTGAAGTGATAAGACAACAATGCAAGAGTTGGAAAATAATTCAAAACCAGAAAAAAAAAAAGACACATGCCATGTAACTTACTTTAAAATTATGGCGTTAGTATTCTCCTTTAGAAAAGCATGTAAATTTTCAAATACAATTTCATACCACTTGTTAGACCCTATTTATGGCATTTGAGTCATCCAATGAATTATCAATAATTTGGATCCCAAATAAATTTAAAGTGAGCTCATTTTCAGTGCTCTGGTATTTCAAAATATAATCTGCCAATGATGATGAAACCTTGTTATCACAAAGTATCAACTAAAAAGAATCGTGAAATGAACTATTTTTCATGGGTGAGGACTTGCAATAATGTGTTCCTATAACATTTATTGAAATACGTAACCTTCCTTAATTGTATGAGAGCCAGGAGTATTCATCCAGCTTCCCACAGGAGGAATCCCAAGATTCCTCCATGCCAAAGCCCAGACCGTTCCAGGTGGATGAGTCTGACCTGGCTCACTTTCAAGTTCCAGGCATGCTGACATACCTTGCTGAGCCTTGAATACTCATTCTGCCTCAGGACCTTTGCACTTGCTGTTCCCTCTCCCTGGAAAGCTCTTGCCCAAGATGATTTGCATGATTGGTTTCTACTGGTCTTTCAGTCCTCAAATCAGATGTCATCTTCTTGTGTCCCCCTCCTCAACAGTCATTCTCTACTATATCAGCATGTTTTGTTTTCCCTATAACACTTAATATCTGAAATAGTGTCAAAGTTTGTCTATCGCCTGCCCTCCAAGTAGAATCTAAGCACTGTGATAGCAGAGTATTTGTGCATCTTGTTGCACAGTTTAGCTCCAAGCCCTAGATCAGCTTTTGGCACTTAGTGGGCACCCGGGAAGTGTTTATCGAAGGAAAAAGGGAAGTGGAATGTGGAGGTGGGACGTGGGGAGGAGGGAACCAAGAAGGAGAGAGCTACCTCGCTTTATATCAAATCCTTTCTCTATAAGAAACATCAGTGCAGTCCCAAGACCCTGGTATGTATCATCTTTTCTAAATTTGGTTTACTGATGGTAATAATAATAATGGGAAGGAGGAGGAAGAAGTTATTTACAACATAAAACAAGGAACGAAGTTTAGGAATTTACATTTCAACGTGCTGCTTTATGATTCTTGTGCACATTAAAGTTTGAAAATCATCATTTGAAACCTTTTTAATTATCTCAATGTGTAGTCCTATGGCTAATTTGTTTCTGGGTTTTTGAACTAATCATAGCCCT